TGGCGCTTTTCCACTGCATGGTACGGCACGGTACGGCTCACTTTTGGGGGGTTTTCCACTGGGTACAGTACCTGGTACTTTTTTTAGTACCACCTCGGTTGAGGTTCCAAGTGAACCGTACCATTACCAAAACGTGACGTGTAAACTCTGCTGATCACGGATTGGCCGGAGAGAATCGTCACTACCTGCGTCACTGAACTTGCGACACAAAAGAACCGCTAGATTTAAATCAGCACAGCCAGCGAAGCATCGAACGCAACTGTTTTGAATGAGCGCACCTTTTTTTTAACAACCAAAAAGTGTTGTTGTCTGTTGCGGAAGAACAGACATTCCTCTCGTTGATAGCAGAAGAGCGGATCCAGCGAGAGCTTGATGGGGCGACGCGGAATGAAAGTTTTTTTTAGGAGTCGTGGTAGTAGAGGCGGCGCAACTATAACGACATGTGAGTAATCCCGACCCACTCTAAAGCGGTACTAAACTGCAGTGGAAACGCAAACCGTGCCGAGCCGAACCGTGCCGTGCCGAGCCGAGTCATACCACGCAGTGGAAAAGCGCCAATAGCCTACTCTGTGGCAGCCAAACCACACCGCAAAATGGGCTGATGGCACAATAGATGAATCAGTGTGCATTGCATTGTCCTATATGCTAAGTTTAAAGGTTTCTTGTGCATACACAGGTCCTGCAAAGGTCCTTTTAGAGGCTTTGTAATATGGTGCTAAGAATATCCTGAGAAAAAACCTGCAATATAACCTGTATTTTTGCATGATGAATAAAGTGCACCTTGAATTCATTCAGTTTGACAGTCACTAAAGAATGACTAAACAGCTGCCATGAAAACACACTTCTTGTATGAAAAATTTATTTTTAGTAAATTTATAATTTTCTATTATACAAAACTAAATAGGGGCAAAAGTCTGGAAATTCAAATATTTTTTCCATATTCTGCTTTCTTTTTTCCATACTCTTCCAGACCTGGAAATTACTCAAATCAAATTTCATACTTTTCCAAACTGCGTAGGAACCCTGACAACAACAACAACAAAAAAGCATAACTGTTCCACCAAAAAATATTAAGCTAGGCTAAAATTCACCTTTGCCATCACAGGAATATATTACAATTTAAAATGTATTAAATTATAAAATTTAATATGAGAATGATTTTATAATATTTCACAATATTACTTTTTTTTTTTAACAAGTAAATGCAGCATAAAAAAAAACTTACCATATATATATATATATATATATACACTGTTACTGTATATAAAAATGTATTAGAACTAAAAAAAATTAAATAATTCAGCCCCATTTTTGAACAACTGGTCCCAGGACACTTAACAGAAGAGAAGTGACCAGGCTTTGGAACTGAAGCACCTTCACAACAACTAAAGAAATCCTCACTTTCACGACAGAAAAACAAGAATTAGCATGGAAACTATACAGAGTTGGTCATGCACACACACCCAAGCTACACAACACAACTCCACATTAATCAAGGAATAATTAAGGCAGTGAGTAGATTTGGTTTCCAAAATCAGTGATATTTGAAGGCCCATTCTAATGTCTTCTACCATTAAAACACCACAATCACATACACTGATTGAGAGGCAGAGGTTAGCAACTGCAAAAGCTTAAGAGACCAGATGAAAGCTATTACAACCTAATATCTGATTCATCTCACACAGCAGACAAAGAATAACAAGAGAAATTAAATAGAACTGGAGGAAAAGAGTATGAGGCAACTGAAGTTTGTACAGGAAATCCCAGAGATGGCACGGAATGACTTACCAAATGAGCTGTTTGAAAGCAAAAGTTCAGTTAACAGGAAAACAAACTATGACACTTTATAATAACTTTTATTAATATGTAAATAACTAACATTACATAAGTCTTATATTTCAGACATCTCTGCTTTTCATTAAAATATATAGGTTGAGACGAGTAAAATCATTCACTTCATAGTGTTGTTGCTATTATGAATATTTTCAGTTAAAATATGGGCAATTAAATATGTATATATTCATATGCTGTGCGTATAATACATTTACCTTTCAAATGAACACTGCCTTGACTGTCATCTGTAATTCAGTTATTCAACTAAACTGTCCAAATACAATTTTAAATAGAACAGTTGATTCTTTATATAAAGAAAGATATAAATAACAAATACCAAAAGACATTTATAAATTCTGTAAAAGATTACCCAGAAAGGGATCCTTAACATTTTCTGTAAATTATTTTACATTTTGTGCTATAACTACTAAATTAGCAAATGTTTCTATTTATTTCCTATTATAACACATTGGTTGATGCATCTTCGTCCTGCACGTGCTAAATATATGTTACAATTTAAAGTGCACACTGTTCTTAAGTGACCATCTTCTAAGTATTCTAATCGAGCAGTTCTGAAATCATTTTACATTGGACATCAAATGATGGCCCCAAAAGGTACTAAAACTCTTTATCATAAAAAAGTAAAAATGCTCTTAAAATCTTGAGATATTAACATAATATTAAATAATAGTAATGATCAAATAATTAGTCATCATTTTTTGTAAAAAGACTTAATAAAGAAAGATCTAACTATGTATTATTAAAAATGGTTATCTAATTTACAGAGTTTATATATTTATATTTTTGCGCTTGTTATAATCCACTTTTTACAATATAACACTACATGGAAATTCTCATCAATTAACAACAAATGTTGTACTTTATCTTCATATCATTTAAATGCACAGCAGTTCACAGCATTGCATGTAGTGACATCCTGGTTCTCACCTGAAGAGTTTTCAGTAAAAACAGTCAAAGTCTGTCCACCGACCGTCTGCAGAGTGAATGGATGCTCTCTGGGGGCCCGTACCATAGAGGATTTCTCCCCAATGGTGTCCACGGTGGTCAGCTCCTCATTGAGTGTGAAAGACACCTGTCAATCAATCAGAAGAACACTGAATCCACCTAAAGACACAAGTCTCAAAGATAAAACACTGAATGTTTAAAGACATACTTATTACCTCTGCTTTGCCTTGATTCCTGTACAAACAACAACAATTGTATGAATATTAATGTTTTGAATTAACGTGCCTGCAGTACTCCATCACACAACACATGCAGATGATACCTATTTTTGCTACATACTTGCATATTCGTAGCTTTCCAACTTCTCCTCTCCCTGTTGCTTTGGCCCATTGCTGTGACAAATACTTTGGGACCTTTATGAAGTGTATGCAAACATAGCTTTAAAACAAGGCCCACTTTAACGTGGTTTTAATAATTACACTGCACAACATATAAACCATATTTCCATGCGAGGTATCTGTAGATGCTAAAGCCATGTACAACTGGCTGTAACGTTAGCTGTTCATCATCGAGCTATTTAAAGCACTTACTTTGACCAGCCATACACCCGTGTTCTGCTTTGCCCCGGTTAAATCCACCTCTCCTTTATCTGACATGCTTGTTAATAGTTTAAATGTTTCTACTCTAGCTATTTCATGTGGATTTAGTGCACCTCTTCCACGCTACACACTAGTTAGCGAACACTCCATCAACAGAGCCGGTTGTACGGTAGCCCGTTAGGACAAAAACCAAACAAAAGCGCGTTGGTTAATGCTGATGCTACGCATTTACAAAATCCGAGATTTTGTGGAACAGTTAACAAATAAACAAGCATTTTCTTTTCGTTAGCTCAACCAGTAATAGTAGAGTTAGAGTAGGATATTTGAAGATATAAAGGAGATACATTCTACTTCGCTTTGTCATTTTATATAGTCAATAAACACACTGCCCTCATTTCTGGTAAATGCAACTGACTTATTTAGAAGTGAACATGTTTTTTAGATGTATTTATTCACAGGAATTATCACACTTTACATTTATGATAGCATAAAAACGTCCCAGAAACAATTCAGTTGAGCCTTATGGCCTCTACTCTGCAAAGAATTATGACTTGCATCCTTCAAATTCGCCTTCATGATTGTTTGCATTGTAACATTAATAATTATCATTATGAATGTTGATTCTCATTACTATAATATAGCAAGTAATGACACAATAAAAAGTTTTAATGGTCCTAAAATAGTCTTCGCTTCATTAAGCAAAATATACATTCTTTCTTTCTTTCATTTTTGGGGTGAAGTTCATGTGATCTGAACTTGGAATATTCTATGAGGAAAGCACACTCTGGTAAACAATACATGACCCCAAAACATAAAACTGTCAGAATTCAGGGGAATAAAATGCTATCACTGGATATAAACAATAATACTTATATATGCATTACTTAGTATTAAAAAGGCGGACTAAAAACTTTTAGAAATCACAAAATTATAGACATTTTAATGCATTATCTTTTACAATTAGACATTAGACATATAAAAGGCAAATTTAGGAGGAACCTCAGTAGGTCCTCTAAATTTTACATATAATTGTCAACAAAGCACATAATGTTTTGATGATGATGCTGCTGCAAGGATTCCAATGCAGTACAAAGTTCCTTTAAAAAAATCCTTGACAACAAGAGATAAATTTGCTGAATGTCCCTCATAGGAACATGCGGTCTTTGCTGTGTGAAAAGCGGGTGTTCAGCTCTTGTGACTTCTTGAGCAAAGCTTTTTTTTGAGCCTCATCAAACCGATTGACTTGGAGGTCAGCGTCTCTGTCGAAGGGTCTTCTTTCCACAGGCTTTGAAGCATCCTCCTCAGCTTTTCTTTTCATCTTCTTAGTGTGCATACTGATGAGAGATTCACCACGCTTGGATTCCTAAAAGGAGATGGGCATTCTGAGACTGAAATTCACATTTTTATACTTAAGCAGTCACAGCTGCATGTAGCAAACTAAAGGTGTGGTCCATCAGAGTGAGCTACTCCAAAATAAATTGTTTTTACTGTAGTTTGGATCAAATAAATGCTCAAAAAAAAAAAAAAAAAGTATTCCAAACTTTTTACCGGTAATATATATAATATTAATGCCATTTTTTGACTATCTCATTCAAGTACAATTTGTAATAAATCTTAAAGCTGGATTTAACCAAACTTACATTATATTTTGAAACTTTTTCAGCCATCTCAAGCTCTTTGTGAGACAGACAAGGTCCATCATCCTTGGCAGATTCACCTTTTTCCTTAGCCTCTAGTCGTTCCTAAGCAAGACAAACAATAAGGGAATTTCAAAACAGTCCCTGAAATCCCTCTTTTCCAAAAACCAGTGGCCAAAAAAAACAACAACAACCTTTTATCACCTGCAAAATCACATATGATATCACTGGAAATTCTATGATGACTCTCCACAACAATCCCCACATTTCACATCTGAACTCAATTACATCTATCGCTAACTCACCCTAGCTTTTCGCTCACGGTCAGTGGGAGTGTCAGTCCAAATTGAGCGGTCTTTGTTCTCAGGGCCTGATCTTTTCTTAAAGGTTCGTGCTTCCAGGCCCACATGCTGCAACTCAGGAGGCAACTCTGTCATCCAGCTCTCTCTGAGCACTTTGGAGCCAGTCTAAAAGCAGAAGAGTCCGAGATTGTTTAGTCTGCCCACTCACTGGAATAAATCAACATCTCTTTTAATGTTGAACAAACCTAATCAGTCAAGTTCTTTATTGTCATTGTACAAGAACAGCAAAATAACTTGTCCTGAGGTTTGAAGCATGTAAACTGAAATAAAAATGGGAAGTATATAAGGCTTGAAATTAGAAGCATATGTGCAAAGATAGAAATATACAAAAAGTAAAAAGTAAGAAGAAATATACAATATACAAAAACAAATAATAATATAGTAAATGATAAATAATAATAATATACCCAAAATACTAGCTGAATTAATAGATAAAAAAAAATATTGATTAAAAAAAAACATAAAAAGCACTTACATCTACTCCTGTAAGTTTGTCTTTCATTCTTTGAGCTCTTCTTTCAAAGTCCAATGCCACAGAGTCCTGGGATGGTCCTTTTGATGGCATGGGTCCAATGACATAATCATCATCTTCTTTACCGCTTGACTCTGCTGGTGTATAACCTGGCGGTAGAGCTGGTAATAAAAACCCTCTAGCATCTTCTTTTCCCTCTTCTTCATCTTCATCTGCATCTGCATCTTGTCTTTTAAAGCCTGGAGGTAGAGCAGGTCCTACAGGTGGTCTGCAGGGGAGAGGAAAAAACCTATATCAACATTTACATTTGCATGTAAAATTAGAATAAATATGATACTATGTGTGTGTGATACTACCAACTCTACACAACAAAAAAATGTGTAGAGTAGTACTTTTGTCAATTCCTGTTACCGTTCAGGAGATCTGTCTAGCTTTTGATATCCTGGTGGTAAAGCTGGTCCTAAAAACCCTCTGGTATCATCTTCTGCATCTTCATCATCATCATCATCATCATCATCTTGTTTTTTAAATCCTGGAGGGAGTGCAGGTCCTAGTAAAGGTGGCCTGGAGATGCAAAATGTAGTTCATCCACGACTTAGATTGGGATGCTGAAATTGCTCTACAAATGATTATGTGGCATACTATTATCAAGTGTTTATTACCCCTCTGGTGATTTGTCTCGCTTTTGATATCCTGGGGGAAGAGCTGGACCAAAGAAACCATCATCCTCCTCCTCATCCTTATCGACTTGCTTTATATCCATCTCATCTTTCACATTGCTCCTGCTGCTGTTAAAGAACCACAACAAATTTAACCACAACGAAAACTGCACATAAATATCAGCTACCACTCCATATCCATCTTAAGGTGATATTTAAATGCTTAGTTTTGTGATCAAGGCTCTGTAGTTTTTACTGTGGAGGTAAAACATATAATGCAATGCAATACAATGTTGATTGAGAAATGAACAAATAAACGTTCCTCAAAAGCCTGATGGATCAGATTTCATGGTTACATTTTAATTAGACTTTTCTTGAAAAAAAAATAAATAAATAATCGAGTAAACCTAAGTTGGACATTTTTAGCAAGTACAGATCAGATGACAGAAGGCATGTAGTAGATTGTGTACAGTGGGTTTTTCAACGGTTTTGATCATTTAGAGGCCTTCCAAATTTATTTATCAAATATGATACAGTATGCTTTATAAGGTTGACTATCTCCCAACACAACATAAAAATAATTTGCATATAGCAAAAGTGGTTTATTTATGACCAAACACTTCATTAACTATGAATCCCTGAGAAACACATGTATCTGGAAAACCATCAAGTATCATACTTTGAAGAAGGCCGGTTCCTAGATGATGATGATAATGATGATGAGTATTTGGCTCTCTTGAACACAACCTCCTCTTGATCACTGTCTTCACATGAGCTGGAGGACTCTGAGGCTTTATATTTTGGAGGCAAAGCTGGACCTATGACTGGAGGCAACATGTATTATTTATTGTGCATTCATTTATACGTCAATTAAACCTAAAGGACTGGATGGATTAACTGTTGTTGGGAAAAAGGGGAAAAACATCTAAAGGCAATCAGCCTTGTTATACATGTGCAAATACGAAATAATAAAAACATTATTTTGCTGTTCACAAAGCAGCTGCTACAATGTGTAACGTTAACATACTTGCGCCTTCTTCATCTGAATCATCATTTTTGCTTTTTTCCATCGTCGGTGTCAAAGCGGATCCAATTATATTTTGAGTAGACATCGCAAAAATTATTGTGTCAGAAGAAATAATCATAAACCACACATTTATTCGTTCACAAACCCAGGAAATATGCTACAAAACAATAAACACATTCTCTTATTTCCGGTCTCAAATTTTAGGAAAATTGCAAATTAAGAGTCCTGTTCAGGCGGAATCCTATAGATGGCGCGTTATTTTCCATCAGACGCTCTTTAACGCAAACGTCACTTCTCTTCTCTGTTGTCAGCCATTGCTGTTTCTATGGGAGGCGGGACGCTTAAAAACAACAGTTGGTGTGATAAATAAGTTCCCGTTTTAATCATAAAACACTTTTTCCAACATAAGACATTTTAAACTTTGACGCCTCACATAAACTTTGTCGTGTTTTCTTGTCACGAGGCTGTGAAAGTCAGGTGGTTAACCTGAAATAACCGAATTTGTCACCTTGCTTTGTCCAGCTGTCATCGCTTATCCGTTAATTCTTCACTTGAGCGTCTGAGCCCCTGTCCTGCCGCTTGACTGCTACATTTCCATCTTTGAAGAACAGTCTTCTTATCTCACATGACAAGTCGGTAGGACTTTTGGATTGGAGCTTTGTCGAGATGCCACCTAAGAAGCCAAGAGACGCCACGGCAAACATCTCCAGCTCCATCGAGTCTGAGGACATCAGTCTGGAGACAACAGTCCCCACAGAGGACATATCGTCTTCGGATGAGAAAGATGGCTCAGGGAAGGTGACAAAACAGCTCCTGGAAAGAAAAGAGCTGCTTCATACCCTTCAAAAACTGAAGATAGAGCTGTCACAGAAAAATCTGCTAATCGACAACCTCAAAGTGGACCACCTCACCAAGGTAATGGTTGATGAATACAAAACTACTCTCTACATTAGATTGAAAGCAGTTTTAAAAGTATTTCAGCTGTGTTTGTTCACCCGTAAGTGTTAAAATGATTGTTTTGCACATTAATTTGTAGATAGAAGAGCTGGAGGAAAGGCTGAACGATGCTCTCCATCAGAAGCAGGTGCTTGCTCTGCGTCTGGACAGCCAGCTCAAACTACAGCAGGATGAAAACAGGTACATTTACACAGTTTTACTGAGAAAAAAATCTTTAGGAAGTAGGGATGTACAATCTGTCAGTGGTCAATTTGGTATTGGCTGATAAATGTGCCTTTTTGCATTTTAGTGGTTTCATTTATTTATTTATTTTTCATTTGGTCTGATAAAACAGGCCTGAAATGTTAAGCTAATAAAACGTTAGCCATTTCGAATCACGCCTACTTATTGTTAAACACAAATAAAATAAAATGATTTGGCCTACTCTATTTGCATTCCACTTTACATGGCATTCTAAATGCTAATGAATATAATTAAATGAATGATTATAATAATTAAATTGAACACTTGATTGAAGCTTTAGACAAAATATAAAATAAAAAGTACTTTGCACACTTTGCATAATTGTTTTATGCTTTGATGCATCATATTTGATACATCAGGCTTATATATGGCTCATATAGTATGATATAGTGAGAATATGGAGCTCATACTCGAGGAGGAAAAAACATCTCACTTTTATTCAGAGGCAAAAATATACTATTTGGTGCAGATGTTATTTATATGGCCAAAAAGTAAGACTGATAGCTTGTAATGTAAATCAATGAGATCTCTATAACAGAATAACAGATTACTTACATAAAATGCATATACATTTTAGTTGTCACTCTGAATCTCCAAAAATTGTCTTAGTAAGATGATATTTAAATGCTTAGTTTCATGATCAAAGCTCTGTAATTTTTATTGTGGATGCAAAACATAATGCAATGCAATACAATTATGATTGAGAGATGAACAAATAAACATTTCTCAAAAGCCTGATATAACATATTTGATACTCACATTTTAATATGATTTTTCTGAAAATGCTTAATCAAGTAGTGTTTAATCAGGTCAACCTACGTTGCTGCAGTCCAGTAAAAGTTCATTTTGAAATATCTTGAAATATAAAATGTATTCTTACTTTGTAAACATTAATAAACATTTCACAGCAAAAAGGCTGAAATATCTTTTACTTGCTAAAAAAGTATGTAGTAGATTGTGCACAACAGGTCTTTCAGCAAAGTTTTGATCATCTTGGTCATTTAGAGGCCGTAGAAATTCATATATCAAATATGATACATGATACAAATATGATAGGCTTTATAGGGTTGAATGTGGCTTCTGCTTATGCAGGAAGCAGCAAGCCTTGAGGAAGCAGGAAATGGACACCATCATGCTCAGACAGAAGCAGCTGGAAGAGACAAACCATCAGCTGTGTGATCGAGCAGGTGATCTCCGCAGGAGCCTGAGGGACGTGGAGCTGTCTGAGGAGAAGTACACTGAGCTGAAGGAACTGCCTGAGGACAAACTCACCATCCCTGAATATGTTGCGGTAAGCACTGAATTATCAACTGGAGTTGGGAATGAAGATTGTTAGGTTTATTTATTGGTGCTGTCGGTTACTCCCACTAACAAACTTGTGGACAAACCCTGAGCAGATTTAAAAGCTATAGTGTGTGTGTGTGTGTGTGTGTGTGTGTGTGTGTGTGTGTGTGTGTGTGTGTGTATATATATA